TGATTCTAATAATTTTATACTGATCATAAAACATATTTATTTTATAGTGAATTTTAAGGGTTTATGATCAATCTGAAACTAAGATCAAATTAACTATGAATTGTTAATTGGATTTCAAGAATTCTTTTAAAGAGATTCATTGAATTTCCCTACCCCCCCCGAAACTCCATATCAACAATTCGAGTCAAGTTCAATTTAAATACCTGACTGAATTGTTCACAATAACAATTGAGTTTCATTGTCAAACATTTAAATACAACTTTTGAAACGTTTCTTAATAGGTAATTTTATATACTTGTGTTATGTCTGTCAGTGTTATATCTGTGGAATGCTTGACAAATTTGTAATTAACACTGAAATCTGGGATCTGATGACATATATGGAGAAAAGTAAAGACATTTCATATAAGTCAAAATGATGTATCCGTACACTATTTTTTATATGATTTATATAGTCAGATTAGCAGTTAGATTTTTATAATTTGATGAAATAGTATGGTGTGTGCTTGTTATTGATGTTGATAGATATAATTAGTATGTATCATCAATTGGAAGTGGAATACCTGGTTGTAGAAGGCTAAGAAAATCGGAGGAAAGAGAATGCGAACAGAGAGTGACTGGTGTGGAAATGAAGGAATAATGAAGTTTGAGACAATTGATTAACATTTTATAAATGAAGTATTTACTGTATGGTTCTCAGATTTTACTAAGATAATCTGTAATTTTGTGTTTAAACATATTTGGTTATCCCTCTTGGTGTTCTTGTTTACTACAGTAGTATTTAACATGAAATAACCAATGTGAGCACATATTTGCAGTGTCATGCTGATCGATTTTCACGGAGAATTACTTATGTTTTTTGTCCTTTTATATTAACTCGATCTAATGAATGAACAACCTGTTCTCAACCCTCTGATATTCCTATGTAAAAAAGTTAAATAACCATCAAACAATTCTATAGTTTACATCACGGCATGATAATAATTAGGTAAACATTAAAACGCCAAAAGCACTGGATATCTGTTTAGCTTTAGTATGGGACTTCTCAATAGTGTATATCCACGGCTTCAATATGGTTGAACCCAGGAACTTTATGCCTAGTATTGGATGCCTAACTTCTGAACCATTGAAGAGACATTCAATAGTTAACATGCATAACTTCTTAGAATGACCAAAGCTAAAAGATGTATCTGACATAAATCAGTGTTGATTTTCATACTGAAATTCAAGCCAAGTATTATTCACTTCAAGTAACAATTTGCTTTCCCCTGAGCTATTAAACTCAATTAGCTATTATTGAGACAATGCACACAGGATGCATATTTCTTGACAGAAACTATTGATTTCAATAGTTGAGATCATGAGTCAATTGAAGCTAGATCCCCATGGAAAATCTGGAATCACTGAACAACCATTTCATCGTAGTATGGGATTCCTCTGCAGTGCGCATACACAGTGCAACTCAGGACCTAACGGTTTCGCGAGCGAACACTTAACCACTAGACCACTGAGCTGGCCGGCATCCAACGGTGTTAATGTCTACCTTCAATTAACCCACAAAATTGAGCCACTGCTCACCATTGTCATCAGTGAGTTACTATCTCACAACAGACCCGGTTGAACTCCACTAATCATCTTTTCTCACTAGAACTCTAGGATATACCTCTTGAAGTCAGTCACTAGTGAGCATGTGTTGATTAGTATCAAAGAGGTGATTTTGTGGATATTATAGTAATTTTAATAGGTGAAATCATAAGTTCATTATGGCTAGATCACCATGAAAAACCTGGAAACACTGAACAACCTTTTCGTCCTATTGTAGAACTCCTTATCACTGTACATTGTTATATTTAACATTAACAACCGGTAAAATATAAACTCTTACATCTAACAACTATGTTCTTATTAACTTAAACAATATCTATTACACCATATGGTAATATAATATCTCTAAGAACAAGTACATAATAAGGTATAACATTAATTGTTTTAATTCTCTATATATAAAAAAAAGATTCACATTTTAAATAGATTGATCATTACAAACTTAATATACACAAATTAACAAGATACTTTTCTTTTCCACCACCCCCCCTCAACAACACACCACCTCACCCCACCCCACCCCAGCCCTAGTAACCATCTTTCATTTCAATTCTTATTACATGAATATACAGTACAGAATTACATTTTGATTGTTTGCATTATATAAAAAGTTTCAAAGTGAATTCATTCACTAAAAAGAAGAAAAATACAAAAACTAAAAAAAAAAGGAAATATAAAAGAAACTATTGAAACATCTGTTAGCTCAATCTTACCCTTATCCGTTGTCTATAAGAATAAAGTAAATTTGGAAAAAAACTATTCGAACATAAATAGTTGTACCGAAATACGGAATAATAATTATGCATATATATACATATATATAAAAGAAAATAAGACTGATGTGAGGTAATCATTGAAACTATATACACATCTTGACTTATTCATATTACCAGGTTTGTTTATAATTTGTAGAATTTGTTCTCTTTTCTTTTTTTTTTCTTTTGCTTTCTATCATATTACTTATTCAGATGTTAAGAATTACAGTCTAGTGGTTAAGTGTTCGTGCGTAAGACTGATAGATCTTGGATTGTAGATGTGCATTGTTAAGGAGAAGTCCCAGGTTCAGTTAACTCATGATCTCGACTATTAAAATTATGCCAACATTTATGTAATCTCCAACGTTTATGTATATACAAATCAATGGCTGCTTATCTATGAGCATTTAGTTTTATGAATTATGAAATTCAACAATATACATAAACCTCCTTCAATAAAAACATACTTTTGATTGAGATCATGAACCGATTGATGTTAGACCACCACCTTTGGAAACCTGGAGGCACTGGACGGCCGTTTCGTCCTATTGTGGGACTCCTCAGCAGTGCGCATCCATGACCCCACTCGCGAGGTTCGAACCCAGGGCCTTCGGTCTCGCGCGCGAACGCTTAACCAACTGGACCACTGAGCCGGCATCCAGTGGTGAGTGTCTAACATCAACCAATCCACGAAATTGCATGACCAACTTCCATTGTACTGAGGTAGATACCTATCTCTACCCGACATGGATTAGCTCCACTGATCGGTTCATGATCTCAATCAAAAACTTAATAATCTCCACAACCCCTATACTAGTAAAAAACATACTTTATTGATCAGACGTTCACAATTATTTTGAAGCACATACATCAGAAGAATTCACATCAATCCATAAAAATCTAAATTCAAAATATAAAATTTTATGTTTCAGTTAGTTTAAAATGAAACAAGGTTAAATTGAACCATTCAGTGAAATTTATAAAGAAAACAATAGATTTCACCTTTAACATTGTTCATAATACAGATTGTATCTTTCCTCAAACATCACAAATGTTCAATTAATTAGTTCTTTTAAATAAAGTTTTTTGCAAAACTTATATTCTTATGCCCGATCAATTATATCACGTGATAGGACATCCAATTAGTGATACCGACTTACACGACCAAAATAATGACAATGTAAACTTTTACGAGCAGCCTAGAACCTAGGCTCTTAATAACCTCTCTCCTAACCAAACTGATTTAATCCAGAACGCCAATCTCAGCCTACACGATGCAAACCACATATTTCAGACAAATTGGATTTATACGGAAACAAATCAAATCGCATCACACAATAAAACCGAGAATAACAACTATACAAGATCAAGCCAAATAGTGGCTGTGATTGTGATAGACTATTACTAATAAATTGGGAACAATAATCAATAGGTCACATCAAAGCTTATAATGAAAGAAATATAAACATACATATAGTATAGTTACTTAATAGTCATACAACAAGAAGATACGTATAATATTAATCCATAACTAATTTCTAACGGTTATCATTCATTTATTCTGGTCCGGATATAATAACTTCAATGACTTACTTACCTACTTACTTACGCATGTTACTCCTCATGAAGGAGCATAGGCCGCTCACCAGCATTCTCTGTCTAAACCCGTCCTGGGCAATCCTTTCGAGCTCCTTCCAGTTCTTATTCATCTTTTTCATATCTGATTCTATTTCCCGACCTAAGGTGTTCTTTGGCCTTCCTCTTTTCCGCTTCCCTTCACAATTCCAAGTTGATACTTGTCTCGTGATACAGTTTTATGATTTCCTCAATGTATGTCCTATCCATTTCTATCATCTTTTCCTAATTTCTTCTTCAGCTGGAAGCTGATTTATTCTCTTCAACAGAAGGTTGTTACTGATGGTATCCGGCCAATGTAATGTTGAGTATCTTGAGTAGACAGCTATTTATCAATACTTGTATATTCTTGATGATAGTTGTTGTAGTTCTCCAAGTCTCAGCTCCGTATAGCAGAACTGCCTTGACGTCCGTATTGAATATTGTGACTTTGATATTGGTTGAAAGTTGTTTTGAGTTCCATATGTTCTTGAATTGTAGGAATGCTGCCCTTGCTTTGCCAAACTTCAATGACTACCTATCTAATTTCTGCTCTTACTAAACCAAAACATTATTTTCGGTTTTGAATTAGTTAGTGAAAGTGTTAAATAACTCTAATTATTTTACGTTGTTATTTTGAATTCATCTCAAAGTTTCGGTACTTCATTATTTCACTGAATGGATTATACGCGTAATTTATCATCGTAATATTTATTTAACTAGTATTTCTTAGTATATTATTGTATAGAGTTAACTCCTGTCAAAAAGGCTAGAATAAATACACACTTGGTTGGTTATAAGCAACTCCTATGCATACCATAGTAGAGAAGATTTTATACTTCAATGAATTCCATGTGAAACAAATTCAACAAAAATTGAATTAGTCCAATGAAACATTTTGCAAATTTAAACAATCTATTTAAATAAATTAAAGTAGTTAAAATGTTTTTTTTAAAATAATTAACTCGTTTGTTCATCACACCTTTAGTTAACAAAAATGACTCTTGTTTCTATTATTTTTTATCAGCTTTGATGCAAGTGCTAATGACGAGCGTAAATTTCGACTTGAAGAGCATCGAGGTAGCAATTTAGTGTTGCAACATATCACTGGACGTCGTGGGTCATTTCTTTATAGACAAGATACAAACTCTGGACATTCATATTATAGTTCAAGGCACGAATCAATCACCGGCGATGAAACAACTAGACAGTAAGTTCTTTTATCAGCCTAATCTGATTATTTTGTGCACAGTTTTTTTGGAAAACTCACACAGTTTATCACCACCATTTAAACGTTCATATTAGGAGTTGATAGCTACTATTTGTAAATCATGGTTGATGAGGGAAGTTGCTTTACCTAACTATCGATAAATTACACATAAAGACAAATGTGAAAACAACCAAGTTGTTCAACTCAATGAAACAGTAACTTAGTTGTCGAAATTCATCGACTTAAACTACCATGTATTTGCAATGTAACAATTCTAGTGTTTCAATTTTATTGACCGGTCAATTCTTGTTGAGTGTAACTTACTACATAACAGCGACTCGAAAATTATATTTAGGAAGGTGGGAAAATTTTATAGAGTTCTGTCTGATCAAAAATATATTGTCCAGCACATAGTTAATCAGTAAATAACTACCATCATCTAGTTTGTATGACCAGTATACTGTTTCCAAGAACTTGAATAAGGTATCTAACTTCTGGAAATCCAACTTGAAATAATTTTGGAGAAAATTAAGGCCACTTACAAGATATATTCGTCATTAAAACCCACTTCTAAATTATTAACAAGACCATAGGTATCATTTCCAAGGTTGCACTTGATAGTTTCAAGTAAAGTGAGCATTGGGTAGAGAGTTAATAATATATCCCAATGTGACTTTAAAAAATACATATTTCTTAATACCCTTAACATTTTAATTATCATAGAATATAGTTTGTTATAAATACGTGCTTCTGACGAATTTTTTGAATACAATTACTTATCAGTTTCGTTAATGAAAGAACCTCTATTGAACTGCTTTAGATGTTTTTAATTTGCCATATTCTCATTTACAGCTCTCAAATTTATTTAAACTTTGTACACTTGATAGACACATTTTAGCATATAATTTTATACTACTGACAAAATGACTAGTAGCACTACGTTTTTGATAAAATATCTGCCTATGGTACAATACTGAATAATCAATTTATAACTGTTGTTCCATATTGATATAAATAAAAATAATCAGTAAATTTCTAGCTAATAATGCAATAGTTATTTCTGTTATATTCATCATAATACTGAAATATAGTTTTCGAAACTTGCACACAAAAATAACACTAATCGAGATGGTGAAGATTTGTAGCTCAGGTGGATGATTTTGGTGGAGTTTTGTTCTCTGAGCTGGATGGTTTGGTCGTGGAGCTTTCATCGTTCTTCTGAACGACATCATCAACACAAACTTCAAAACAGCTCAGAGAACAAAACTCCACTAAAATAACACTAATCAGAAGTGAAATATAAATAAGCAATAAATCATTGAAAACTTCTGACTAGCCAGCAATAATCGCTAACTGATGGAAAGCCGTTAATTAAATTCTAGACGGATTTCTACAGTCAACTAATGAACCATATCACAAGAAAAATTGTGGTAAACATAAAAGTTATAGACTTAATAATGAGTTCATTAGATCCCAGATTTTTGGTATTAAGAAAAGTTTACTAACACGTTAGAAGTGTAATTCGATTTAAAATCGTTTAGATTGGCTCGTTGATTATATATTTGATTGAAATTTGATCATTTGAGTTTGGCATATGAGGATCCCGTGAAGGTTCCCTCGATATAATCGTTATGATACAAGCAGCGAGATAATTCAAACAATTTCAAATTGAATTATATCTCTTATTTGTTGTGCTCAGTAGCTAAGTTGGAAAACACGATGACGTTTGAAACAAATAGTACTGGGTTTGAGTGTTGGAGTTTACATCAACTCTAGGAAGTAAGCACATGCAGTTAACATGTCCGAAATAGGATGAAACGCATATACTGGATTCTGCTGCTAACCACATTTCATCTAGTTTATATCAAAATAAGCATTTTCGACATAAAATCAATATAGTATAGGGACGAACATAAATAATTTCTGGAGTAACTGAGTGATTTGGAAACTAATTATGAGCAAATATACAAAGAACCTGTACAAATCAAAAGTATCTCTCAACAATAATAATGAAACTTGTTGAGGTTCAATTGTTTTAGGATGTTCAAAGGCATACTATCTGATTTTAATGTTATGGATAGATTGGTACAACTCCTCATCAATCTGAATGCCAGTGTATTCACTCTGAAGGTGTCTTCCTGAATCTGTCTTACAGCTAGTAAATAGTTTTATTGGAAATTCTTCATTGCTTACTAAGAACTTTATTAACAAATTCACTAGAGAGTTAGAGAGATAGTTATAATAGAAACATTTTTGTCATCACAACAAAATGAAGGAGTCATTAGTAATTGTTTTTTATATATGTGTTAGAATTCCTTATTTCTTCAACTTACTTGTTACTCAGTCAAACAGTAATGAAATAAGTTACTATAAATGAAGTAAGCTAAAACAAAAACTGATTGATTCACATGTTATGTAAAGTCTGGATAGAAAAAAATGTTATCAGTATAGGGTTGTGGAGATTATTAACTTTGTGTTTGAGATCATGAACCGATTGATGTTAGACCACCATTGGAAACCTGGAAGTACTGGACAGCTATCCTGTCTTAGTATGGCACTCCTGAGCAGTGCGCACTCATGATCCCGCCCCCTTGGGATTCAAACCCAGGACCTGTCGGTCTCGCGCGTGAACTCTTAACCTCCAGACCACTGAATCGACATTCAGCGGTGTTAATGTCTAACATCAACCAATTCGCGTAATTGCGCGACCATCTTCCATTTTACTGAGGTAGATACCTGTCTCCACACGACACGGATTAGTTCCACTGGTCATGGCTTCTCATTAGAACTGTGAGAATTCACTCACAAAACTAATCATTGGTGAGCACATGGTAGGTTTGACATTCACACTACTAGATGCCGACTCAGTGGTCTAGAGGTTAAGTGTTCGTGAGAGACTGATAACACCTGGGTCCGAATCTCGTGGGGCAGGGTCGTGTATACGCACTACTCATGAGTCCCCACAATAGAACGAAACGAACGCCCAGTACTTCGATATTTTCAATGGTGATCTAACATCAATCGTTTCACGATCTCAATCAATAAAAAAAGAACAAGTAATATTGATTGATCACTGGGTGGCGATCAATGTCATGTATGTCAAGTTCTTCTTAATGCAGATCGAATGCTATCGATCATGTTGCAATGTGGCCACCAGTCTAGGTGACTCGACACTGCGGGCACTATATATTGAGACTAAGTGGTGGTTGGTGGTAGTCGACATTGATCACTACCCAGTGATCAATCAATTGTGATTGCATCTCAGTCTTACAGGAAGTCGGTCACGGCTCAGATAGCTCAGTGGTAACGTCTCTGACTGTGAAGCTGGGTGACACGAGGTGGAATCCGTCAGGGAGCACCAGTTCCCTCGAGATTACAGGTACACCTTGCTGACGAGTGCCAAGTAGCACGAAACCCGGGTCCAGGGTTTCCTGTCGACTACCTCCAACTACCATCTAAAAGCAAGTAATACGTTTGACTCTGTCATTTTTATTCTGAATTATAAACATTCTAATCACTCTATAATTACACATTGTACATGGAAAAAAAAATACAAAGTTCATTTATCTTAACTTTTTCTAGTTGGTTCAATCCTACATAATACCTTTATAAACATTTTCCTTTGTCACCATTAGAAATTCACTATTCATTTAGAATACATTAAGAAAACAACAAATCTTATGATAAATAATTTGACCAATACTACACACACGCACACAAATACACACATACATACACACATACATACATACATACATACATACAGTCAAAACATACAAACCAATATACTTTGTCTCAACTGCTACAAGCAAGTATCAGAATAAACAACATTACCTTGTTCATATTGATAGGATATCAAATTTGTTTCCTTCTTTCTTTCTTTCTTTCTTTCTTTCTTTCTTTGTTTTTCTCTTTTTTTTGTTTTTTTCGTTTTAAATAGAAATTGATTTATTTTCTTATTTTTATTTTTATGATTTTCAAATTTTCATTTTTTTTCTTTATTAGTTTTCTTAGTTGATTGGCTGTTTGTCATAGGGAAATTACCCCAACTACATATATTTATGTAGCTATGAAATCTTTGTTTTAGTTTCATAAATTTACCCAGATGACATTTGGAAATATTGATTCATATATGTGATAGATTTGACATTTTTTTTGTATTTTTTCCATATCTCCCCCCCCCACTTATGTTTAATCTAAATTATATCTATACGGATATGAATATCGAAATTTCGAGAAATATTCGATAAAGAATTGATTATTTTTTTTCTTGAAAAGAGAAAAGAAAAAGAAAAAAACTAAAAAGTAACACTGAATAATTGAGTAGGTTGGATTAGAACTTTCTGATTAGCGTTTTTGTTTTTTTTAGCGAGTTAGTTTTCTATGAGATGGGGTCAGTAACCCCATGATCAAAATTCCTCCTTTATTCAGGCTTGGGAATAACGATAGGCGGAGCTTATTAGATTAGAGTGTGCCCAATAATTTATAGACTTTAATATTAAATATTATACATGAACAATCAATGATTATTAGTGAATGTTATGTTTGTTTAGGTTTTATTTATTTATTTATTTAAACACATAAACATTAGTACAAGGAGGCACTAAACAGATATGTACCACATAAATCATTCGATTTGTGTGAGGGCTGAGATACTGCCCCGATGCCCAGACCGAAGCAGGTGGTTTTCATAGCGGGCCACACTCCGAGCCTTGTACCTAAAGGTCTGACCCACAAGGCAATGGAGCATCGTGAGGAGATGAAGTCCTATGGTAGCCGGTGACTAACGATTGGTTCACACGCCATTTGTTCCCGCAGGATACTGGAGCCCATGTGCACCATTGGTTTGGAATCCGGTTAAAGCGTCGGACATTCGCTTTTCGTCCTTTCATTTTCGTAAACAGCATTCCCTTTGACGAGAAGGCAGTGAGTAGGACTTCCCTGGCAGAGGCTGTATACGCGTGGCCATGTGAGAGCATTTCGAGAGAAAGGGCGGGCCC